GGGCTGCTAATACTTTAAGACAGCCCGCATGGCCTATCTCTCCCCCCTCTCTCGACCTCTCTCTCGGTGGGTGAGAGAGAAACAAATTTAATTCGCATTTAGGCAAAGCTTTTTCTTCGGATCTCATACCCTGCATATACAAAGCGCCCCAAGTGTGTGTTTATGGCGGATTTCAATAAATGTATATTTAAGTGAGTGAAACGAATTTAATTTAATGAAACAATTTGATTCGCATTTAGCTGAGCCTTGTTGGTTATCATCAAAGTCCTGCTGAGCCCAAACAACGGAATAAGCTAACAATACTTGAAGTCTCTAATATAATATATCTGCTTATAGTATTAGCCCAGGTAGAGGGCATAGATGAAGGTAAAGGTCATAGGAATCTAGAATATATTCTATTTTATTGTGAGAGTGGCTCGGTTGCCTTGTTTGGTAGAGTATTTGGTAGTCGAGCAACTAGACCTTCGCTCGGCTATGTTGTTTTGCTTTCGGGCTTTGCTTATTGTTGCTGGGGGACCGGCGACATAAATCAGCGCCACAAATTGATGCGTAAATAAATGCAGAAGTGGAAGCGCTAACCGAAAAGGATGTGAAAACAACAGAAGAGAAAGAGAGTAAAACAAAAGCCGAATTATTAATTAAATATGATCAAAAATAGAACGAAATCCACGCCAGACGCATTCGACTAAATCCAAGTGGAGTCCAAAGGGCGCCCGCCTGAGCCATTTACCGCTGAGTTTTGAATTACATTTGGTCTCTGGCTGGCTCCTCCAGTGGTGCCAGCCGGTGCCATATGTGATCCTATTTATTGTGGGCCACATATGAACTCTATATATACACACAAATATATATAAGTGTATGTGTGTGTGTGTGTGTGTGTGTACGCAGAGCTTAGTAGCTTGCGGCTGGAGCATGTCATGTGTTCAATCGATTGGAAAATCGCGTTCTGAAGCGAAAGTAAACACAGCTAAATAGAGAAAATGAAAGCAAATGGACAAATAGCGCCCGAACCTTTTGGACTGAGAACCTGAGCAATACTTCAATGGACCCAGCGCCCAAAAAAGTGCCACAACTCCGCACGCACCACCAAGCCATGCCCAACCAACTCTCGGCTCCTCCAGCAAATGAAGGCCTAATCACATCCAGTCAAACACACTCACACTCACACACACACACCAACACACACGCGCTGGGTGCGCTTTATAAGCTTCTACATCAAACACACGGAGACATGACGAAGAGAGCGTTGACTAGCCGAGTCGGCTGGGATGTGGCATGAAGTGTGCCATGGAGCACATTCCCATTTGCACCTCAAGTGCTTAAGCGAAACTTTGCCATAAGCTGGCATGTGTGTGCATGCAGACGTGCCAGCTTGTGTGTGCCTTCCATGCGTATGTGTGTCATTTATTCTATTTTATATATATATATATATATTTCTATACTTATGAATATTTATATATGTATTTCGAATAAAATTCCAACACTCAAATCTGCGCGTGAAAAATTTCAAACAGGCTGTCACACAAATATTTTATTGCTGGACTTTTTTAAGTGCTGTTCCGCTGCATGTGTATGTGTGTGTGTGTGTGTGTGTGTGAAAATCAATAACTGTAGGATTTTACGATACTGTTTGTGAAACTATATCGCTGACGTAGCTAGCTGATAGTTCTATTCAAAGTGGCCTTCGGTATGTCAACGGCAAATCCATTAGGAGACAGAAATTGATTTTCAACTTATGGCAACTCTGCTAAAGGAAACATCTATTATTATCGATGTTAAGTTGCCGGCCATTAGAAAAAGCACACAAAAGCAGATAATACAAACAGTAACAGCGAAACCGATAAGAGTTCGAGTCAAAAATGTCTGCAATTTGTATCTACTTTTTATCTGATTTGTCACGCCTCGCTTCGGTGATAATAATGGATAGAGTAAACATAGTATTACCCACTCTTATCGGTGGAAGGTTTCTTTTGGTTTGCATAACAAATTTGTAGTCATTAAGCTGTATGCGGAAAAGAAGGCGAATATACTCTTTGCACTGTGTGGACGAGTATTAGAGTGACTAAACCTTTTGATTCAAATAATTCTTTATCTTTTTTTACACTTGTACTTCAGATAACTGAAAATTATTATTATTTAATTTTCATTATGATTATAATTAAAATATCATAACCATCATCACTGAAATTGATTTGGCACATTTCGAATTATTGAGCAGATATAATTTATCTGGATATAAATATAAAGACAACTTAGATTGTGTTCTGGAAATTCCACAAAGCAGCACAAGAACTCGCCTATCAGCTTGGATCGCCTCGATAAGGCTGGGTGAGGAGGTATTTTAGGAATAGCCCGCGGCGCTTGAAAATGTTGCCAATCTATGAGTCAGCTGAATCAGAAATATTACGATTAAATAGAACAGGTGCTAAAAAAATAATCGCAAGCTCATCAAAGTTGTTGCGGAATTCTGTGTAATTTTTTGTTTAATGTGAAGCATGTTTAAACATTTTCCCCGCTTGCAAAACTAATTAAAAGTCAATTAATTCAATTGTCAGCACGCACATGGAGAGCATTCTTGCAACAGGGCAAAGTAAAAGTTTTTTTCGCTTTTTCGCTGGTTTTTTGGCTCCCATATTAAAATGACAGCGGCAGCAAAATGTGCGCTAACGTCTCTAAATGTACATCAAATACAATTAAAAGTAAATCGATTTTCAAGGCAATCAAACGAAATTGTGCGCCCGTTGCGAGCGCCTTACAAGTTTTCAAAACCAGAGACCAAAAGCATTTTCAATATGCCAAAAAAAGAGAAAAAGAGGAAGACAAAGAGGAAGAGCAGAAGAGCAAAAGGCAAAAATTTCGTTACGCTAGAAAAATTTCATTCTAATGGCAAGAAAACGAAGCGAAATTCTCACGCGATTCCCACAAGCCGCAGCGTTTGATTATATTGCGATAAAAACTTTTCACAATTCAATCAATTCAGTTCCATTTCAGCTACCCCCGCCCTGCGGTTGCTGTATTTCGACGTACAGCACGGCGTATGCGTGATGTCCGACTACTGAATCGATCAGTTCGACTTTTGGCTAGACATTTGAGACATTTGGGCATACATTAGCAGAAGTTATTTACTTATCTAAAAGTTGAGAAAGAAGAATTGTTAGATTATATCTCGATTGATACAGAAAATATGCCTATTAGAGGAGAGCATGAAGGCTGTCCTGATGATCCCGATGACTCGCAGTGTATATGAAAGCCAAACAAAGTGAACTGAATTTCTACTCTTTCTCAAAACAACAAAATTCTATATAAAACTACATTTCATTAAATTACTTTCAAATGTGGCAGAGCAATCGACAGTCGCATCATTCACATTTGCCGATTCGCTTCTTCACTCAGTTTTTTTAAAAAGATTAATAAATTGTTTATTTATCTTGCAGCTAGTTTTCTTTTGTGCATAGCTTAATTACCTCAAGATAAACTTTTGTCTATTATTTTAGTAAAATTTTAAATGTAGAATTGCTCGTTTATGAGCACATAGCTTGCTCTGATTGAATATACATGCGTCTACTCTGTATATATACATATCTACATATACGCGATGTGCGTGCAAAGGTGTGAAGCGTTGTGCGTGTGTTTTTATTTTTATTTGTTTGCTTTCGTCAATTGCCGAAAAACAATGCAAACGCTCCTCCTACAAGCCAGATCTGGTACACTGCCGCCAGAAGCGGACCCCGGCAGATAAATCGATATTCGAGTTGCTTTGACCATGACTGTCCGTCGAGCTATTTCTGTCCAGAAATGTATAAACGTGCATGGAGAACGACGGCCACTGCCACAGCCAAAGCCAAAGTCTCAAAGACCTTACTGGAAGCGCTAGCAAAAGTGTTCTTTAACCCGGCCAGGAGAAGGCGCAAACAGAGCCCCAACAGCCTCCGATTTCCAATTCCCAATTTCCATTGCGTGTGCTTTACTCGAATCGCTTTGATTGCAAATGAAATATTTAAACGAAATATTCCAGATGCCAGCGCAAATTTTTATAAACTTTTTTCCCTCACTTGTAAAAATATTTACAAACTGTTTATATAAATATTTGCGTCAGCCTTGAAAATGAATGTTTGCCGATTTGCTTTTGTATCGATCGATATATGTTGTGTATATATGTTATACAATTACATGTATATATTTATTTATATATTTTATGCTGTACGTAAGGTATGTTCACCTCCGTTTCCCAGTCTTGTTCCATTATATTTATTTCATACAAATTTTCAGAAAACCTTCAGCGTAATCGCTTTATCCCTACGGTCTCCATATTTATTCGACTCTACATGCGAATTCTTGCTCCAAAATATTGTAATTGCAAAAACGATGCCAATTGCCGCAGAGCGCGAGAACAAAACTAAACAAACGCCCAATCCAAAACTCATTAAATGTGCAATAAAAACTTTGATAAATGCTATAATGGCAGTTGCCTTCATGAGGTTTGAATGAATTATACTCATGCTATTTAGATATACGATATGCCTTTTGGACAGAAAAGTTCCTACACTTGGAGAAAAGTTAAAGATTTTGGGAAATCCCTTGTATAACATGTGTTACGTTTATAGATAGTAAAAAAGTTCATATATTTAAAGATTAACAATGCAGAAATATAAATCTAAAATGAAATGTGGCACACTTATCATACTTCATCGAAGTCGTCCAAAGAGCATGTCATGTACCTATTTAACTACTGAAACAATTCTCAGAACATACCAAATCAAATATATTTTACTCAGCTAACTAAAAAACGCTTGAGTTCTGAGAATTCAATCTTATCAACTGTTGCTCGCTCTGATTGATAACGCCCGCTGCTTTCTAATCGAAGCTTGAACTTCTAGGCAAGGTTATTCGAACAGGCTTATCAGACAAATGTATATGTATATGTTTATTTATATATTTATACATATATGTAGATAAACTTTAAGTGCACTGCAGTTCAAGCAAGAAATTCATTTAATTGAAATCTTATTAACAGCATCAAATGCAATAATGTTGTATAATTGAAAGAAAAGTTATTTCGCTTTCACTCAAAATATTTTAATTTTGAAGTCATTTTCTTGAATAGTTATTTACTTTTTTTAAGTAATCAGTCTACTTCTACATAAATTTAATTTAAATAATAACTCCGGAAAATACCTAATATAAACTCTAAGTTTAACTACTAAATTATTGTTTACATCGTCTACTGATTTACCCCGATTGGGGGGATCTGGCAATGTTTGGGAACCTTGAATAAGTATGCTGCAGTCAGTAACCCAACGTTCTCACTGTTTCTTTCTTTGCTAGTTACAGAGTTGAGATGTATAGCGAATGCAACTGAAAAGATGATATATGGGGGCAGTTGTCACATATAGTATAGAGGACATATAGTGTATATACAACATTTATAGTATATTGTATTAAAATGCGAACCTAAGTGTGGGGCACAAACTGCGCGTTAGACTTGTTTATTTAATTTATTACTGCCAACCGCAACAGATTCGTGTAGTTGTAGTTGTTTTTCAGTTTTTGTTTGGTGTATGCTTGAAACTTGATTATAAATTTGCTTTTATTATTTGTGATTGAATTTTAAGTTGGCAGCTGAGTGCATTTCGCTCTATATATATTTCGATTTAATCAAACATTTACTTATCACGCTCAACGGCTAAAATATATAGCCGCGCCAACTTTTTCCGTATTATTTTTTGCTTGATGCGAAACACCGAAGCAACGCGAATAAATTATAGAACACCGCGGCTTATAATTGGCTTAAGTTATTATTATATTTTGTGCACTGCAGTTATACACGTACACACATGAATATACCTATTATATTTGTGTGTATAGATAGCCTGTATACTCTATGGGCTGATTGTTGTTTTATAAAAGTTGTCTGGCTGTCGTGTCGCGTATAATTAACAAATCTAAACATTCAAACGCTCGCGTGTGACTTGCACAATATGCGACGACGACGACGACTTCGACGATCAATAAAATGAAATCAAAATACGAGTCGACTGCAAATCACATCTCGCGCCGACAAACTTCCGTTTCAAACTGAGCGCTGAGTTTAGCTGGCGCTCTACAGATCGACTCACACTGGCTCTCTCGCTCACACTGATATTCGCGCTCGGCTTGAATAGTTCGGCTCGGCTTGTGTGTCTTCGGGAAATCGGCCAGGCACGAGCGCCAGTGTCAGCGCCAGCGTCTGAAGCTCGTCTACTTATCTACATCGCTCCTACACACATGCACACACACACACACAGGCAGGGTCCATTCGTGTGCCTGCAAATGTGTCTGGTGCCCGCGCCTTTGCTGATTGCTTCCATTAAGAATTATTTGTCGTATTCTTGGTATCGTTTGCACACATACACATACGACTTGACCGGTTCGCTGGTCTCGGCACGACTCGGCTCGCTTCGGCTCGTCTGTGGGCTGGTTTGCTTGCGGCGTCTGCCGCTCTTCTAATTGCATTCTTGATATTCTACTCGGGCTTACTTGGCTAGCTTGGTTTGAGCGCTCGGCCAGTCGAGCAATTGTTCCTGCGCCTGCTGTTCGTTTCTTATCATATTCTTAATGTCGTATGTATGTATGGGTGGTACACTCTTACACAAACATGCAATCGCAATCGCGCTCAGCTTGAGTCTCATGTACGTTCGTTTGTGTTTATCGTGTGTTTCTCGTCTACTTGTCGTATGCTTCACATCGTATACTTTATAATGCCGCTATCGTCGCGCCGTCGCTGCTCGACTTGCCATGATCGATCGGCGGCCATTCCATGCGTAAACTTTTGTTTTCATTTTTACCACTCGCCAGCCACATTCTTTGCCAGCATTTTGTGCACTGCTCTTTGCTGTTCTTTAGCTTTTTGTTTATTTGACGATATTGGAAACGTGCGTTCTCCACTCCATTTTTGTTTTTTTTTTTTGGTTTTGCTAATTAATGACGTTACAAGCAGCTCGGAGTTTTTTTAGTGGCTGTGCAGAGGTGTCGACACTTTTATAGCTATATCTGTTTTTTTGTGTGTATATATGTAGATGCAGGTGCTGGCTACAAATTTGTTTAGACTGAATGTATGTACACAATTTATGATGCAGTCGGCCACTGTCGAAAATATTTTAGTGAATTTAGTTCGACAATCAAAAATTGATTATAAATTAAGACTTTCCACACATTCAATGAAGAAACTATTCCAGCATTCAATTAAAATTTGACACCTGTAAGAATTTGTTTTAGGTATTTCCCTTGCTCAGCTTCACTCACATGCTATTGACAGCTCTATTATGATCTGTTTTCCAGGAAATTTCAGTTTGTGTGTGACCGACCCAAAGCTGAACGTGAATTATCAAGCACAAAATAATTCCATATTTATATATTCGAGTGTCTATGTGTGTGCGTGTGTGTGGATGGCTAAAGGCAGACAAAACATCTAAGGTCATGTATCTGAGCAGTGGCAGCAGCTATTGACTTGATTTTGTTTGCCTTTCCATCAGCGTTGATTTTCAGTCATTTAAGTAAATAGCGCAAAATGCCAAAAACTGAACACAAATGCAAAATAAAAACCACCAACAATTTTGTTTCTATTCAAATTTGTTGCAAATGGTGCAGAAAATTGTGTGCATAGACGTCGTATAGTACGTATAGTTGCACAATTTATTTTCTTCTGTTTATGTGTGGCAACTAAAAGCAAAGTTTAAACAACAGCAAGTATACGCGGCGTGGGCAACGAATACGAATAAAAAAAAACATTCCGGCTGCTTTGGCCAAATTGCACGACTGGAAAAATAAAAAAAAAATTACGTAAAACGTTAAACAAAAGGCAAGATCGCAGCAAAAAAAAAAAAAAATCAATTGTGATTTGCAGCTCGAGTCGCATGCGGAGATCTAGAGCAACATTGTCGAAGACTTATAGCAGCTGCTGAACTGATTTGATTGCATTGTGTGACGTCACACGACCTGCGAAACGTCACAGCCGAAAGAAACTTGTTTTTCCTTTGTGCTTTTGTTTTTAGCAAATGGGCAGGTTAGTCGAGGCAGAGCTAGAAATGGTAAACAATATTGAGAGAGTCGAAGCTGTAATACCCTTTGGCTATAAGATTGGCTATAGCCGATTCTTTAGTGTAGGACTCTCTTCTTCATCGTATCATGATTGCTTTCAATTCACGAATATATATACACATATGGGTATACTTGAAGGTAGCAATACGTATACGTGATATACAAGCATACCTACCTCTACCTATTGACTCGCTCAATGATAAAATCGATATACTCTCTAATAGAGCAATCGGAGAAATCAACAAAAGACACGTAAACTCCAACGCATTTATCTGCAATTCTGGCACATGTGCCAGTCCAAGGTCATACACACACACACACGAGCACGCACACACTTAAGAGTCGCTAACAAAAGCCCGACAAGCGGCAAATGGAGAGGCGGGGTCGAGGCGAAAAGCGCGAGACGTGCGACGTCATGCGAAGGGGCCGAGTAAAAAGTAGTAGCAATTGAGCTGCTAGTTGGGCAACCACTTGCAGTAGTTGTTGTTGTTGTTGTAATCGCTTTTGTCTCCTTTGGCTTTAAAAGCGAAGCGAAGCAAAGTAAAGGCCATTGTTTATAACCAATACACAAACACACACACACACACACACTTAAATAAACGCTCATATGCAGGCCACATAAAAGAACACACACACACACCGGCGCTGTCGACGCCCTCAAGACAAACCATTAAAACACACACACACACCAAAACAGAGCAGAGAGCGAAAGAGAGTGAGAAAGACACACACACACACGAGTTCCAAAGTATCGATAACCTATAGAAAAAAAAGCACACAAGATGAGAAAATTACAAATGAAAATGAACTCAAACGTTGGACAGCTGACACTGCTAAGCAATCAAGTCAGACATGGACGACTGAGCAAAACTCTATTTGGTATAATTAAATGCTACAGTGGAAATATATTAAAATCAGAGAATTTTGCACGGGCCACGAAAAGAAACCGAAATTCAATTCGTATTCATTTTCATATTCATATCAGACAACAGTGGAGGCTTCCTCCTTAAGCTCTTGAATAACTCACATTACCCAAACTACAAACAAAAACTTGCTTTTCAACAATCAACGCTCGATGAAACAAGCTTGTTTTTTTTTTTTTTTCGACTAGCCATATTAACGTATGAATAGAAAGAAGAAGAATAAAACAAAACCTGATGCTTTGACGTTGCTTTGGCTTGCAGCACTTTTTTTTTTTTTTTTTCGGATTCCCCGAATTGTGTATGAATCATCGGCGTTTTTTTTTTTTTTTCCACATGAAGCTCACAGATAAGCGAGATATAGTTAGTGAGCATGAGAGAGAGAGAGTGAGAGAGGGAGAGGGCGACTACGTGCGCCCATGCGGAAACCAACGATGCTCTCGGCACAGCCGCTCAGCTTTCTTTCCTTTCCAGTTGTGCCTTTCCAGTTGTGCATAATTTTCCAGTCAACCAATTACTTTTTTTCTCTTCTCTTTTTTTCGTATTAACTAACCGAGCCGACAATGGTTACATCACAATCGCCTCAACTGGAAAGGCAACTGCAACTGGCTGCGGTCGCTTGCTATGGGGCAGCTGGAACGTGTGTCTGTGTGTGCGAGTGTGTGTGTGTGTGTGTGTGTTCCGCATGCAATGGAAGTGGCGGCGACCGTGTTGCCGTCATCAAGGTTGTCCGGATCTGGATCGATGTGTATTCAATATACAATTTCACAATTTATTAGAAAACCAACAACAACAGCAACAAAAAATAACCAAAGGTAAGACAAACACAGAGAAAGACACATCAGACTTTGTCCAAGTAAATTTGTATATTGTTTTTGCCAACGAACGCTTGTTGAAATAGCAAATCAACAACAGCAACAACAACAACAGTCAAAAATAGTAACCGCAACGACCCGTCTTTATGGGCACACATACATATGTACATACATGGCCACAAGTATGCGTGTATGTGTAAATATTAGAGACTCGCCTCGTATACGAATATTGCTGACTATTAATTAATTAATGCGCCAACGATTTGTGAGTGCCATCGCCATCGGTCAGTAGTCGAGTAGAAGAGAGAGAGAGAGAAGGAGAGAGGTGAGCACAGGTTAGCTGCTGTTGACTGAACTATAAAACTGGATACGTGCAAAGGTTGCAGCTAAACTGCAGCATTCCAATTCCAGCATTACAATTGCGACTGCATTTTCATTTAATGCATCAAACGATTTGTAAAACTTAACATTTGGAGGGGATTAAGATTAAATTTTACATAGGCGTACAAAGCTACATTACATATGGTATTCTGATATAACTATATATCGCTAGTTATAATCGCATTAAATTAATTTATAAGTATGAATTAATATTATTTACAGCTTCAAGTGAAACTGAGCTGCAGAAGAGAATACTTTAACTATCCAATTTGTTTGTAGTCTTAATAAACTACATTTACATATATAAAATATGTATTTAAAAAATAGTAATAAAACTATTGTCATGGAGACCAATTAGAAAATGTTTTTTTTTTTTTTTTTTTTTTTTTTTTTTTTTTTTTGCAAAAGTTCAAAAGTTCTAAAAAATATTGTTTTTTTTTTTTTTTCCCAATAGGAGAATTAAATAACTGAGTGGAACTGTTTTTTTTTTTTTTTTCAAATCAGGCTTTCTTTGATTGACGCTTCGCCCTTTTTTTTTTTTTTTACACCTGTTCTGTTGCCATTACAGGTATTAAAATTTCGCTTGAAGCCGTGAGTATATATTCATAGAACTCTTGACCCACGACTGAAACGTAACTGCTTCAGCAAAATTATATAATTTATTTCATATATATGAAATGCTTGAGTTGAGATGACGTAAAGACTAAATCTGAATCCGACGTCTTGGCTGAGCATTTCGTTTAATTACTTTTTCCCAAGACGCAAGAGCCGAGAGCAACAGGTAGAGGTTGAGTTCGAGTAGCAGCCTAACAGGTGATTAAGCCAGTTAGAACTGAATTTTGATATCGGCTTCTGGAGAAACCCATTTCATTGATAAACGCCAGCAATTTGAATTCATTAATGAGCAATCATTTATAAACTGATTTTGTAATGCACAGCACATAAATCACGCGGCCTGGAGGCATACGAATTATTTATAGTGGCCGAAACTTACCCCAAATCGATTTCAATATTTGCTTAAACAATGTTTTTCTTCGGAAGTGTTCGTTTCCACACACTTCACACACTCACAGACACAGACAGAACTAAACACAATAAATGCACGTGTTGATATTTTATGGGCTTTACTTTCAAAAGATTTTCAAAACTTCAACTGCATTTCAAAATTTTCGAAACATTTATTCGTTACGTTCAATTTCGCACCTGTCGGCTTTGGTTTGGTCTTGTATTCGATTCGTTTTTGCCGTGCCAATGCAACCGATTGCCAGCAGCGCCGCGACGTTAATGAAACCGCCAACGGGCGCCCAAACACAAAAACATTTCAAAAGTTTGCCCCCAAAAAGCTTTTTCGGTCTGCGCATACGCCGTGGTGAAATTGTGGGCAAACGAAAGCTCCTCCGGGGTCAAATGCGTTTTTGAATAGCCCAAGTCGAAAACCGTTACTGGACATGCGAAACAACGAGGACAAAGCGTAAATGCTAATAACGGGTCCATTAGCCGCTGCTGGCCACAAATGTCAAATGAGCCGCAATCAGTGAACGGATGCTGCACGAAGTCGGGCTGAAGGTGTGAAGGAGGAGCAAGCAGGACTCATAGTATGTGCGAATGTGTGAATGGGTGAGGGGTGACGGCAGAAGTGGCCAGCTCTGAGTTTATCTTCAGCTGGACAAGACTGTGAAACAGTTGAATACTAAACTCGCATAGTAGTGGTAGTGTAGAGCCATCAAGAAATGGGCATGCATGTTAACTCACTCTCTTCTGGCTCTCCTCATATAGTCCAATAAAAACACTTCTCATTCAAAACTCTAGACGGTCGGCACGCATTGAAAATGAGCATGAAATGGAATAGCCAGAGATTGAGCCAGACTATGCCTTCTAATTATTATGAATATTAATGTACATAAGCTATGCAGCATATCAACATTTAGCATTATCAAGCATATATATACTTGAGTAGCGTAATGAGGTAAATCGATTTAAATATGCGTATTTGTTTTCTTAGATGTATAACTGTCTCTGTCTGTATCCCTTTCTATACCCCTGTCTCACTATCTCACAGTCCCCGCCTCTCTGAAGAAGAAGAACTACAGATCATTTTAATTTTCTATATCTATGCAGCGGTAGTTTTATTGAAGTCAAAGAAAACTGCAGAGAGTGTTCTCATTGGTCACTTAAAGCTCGGCTGCAACGACCCCTACCTGACGTCGGGCTCAACAGTTGAGTTGCCCTATATAAAGGGCTGTAGCTGCAGCATTTCTTTTAGTCGCCCAAGCCTGGTGGTGGTCAAACGTCGTTCAGCTAAGCATTAAGCCTTCCAGGAAACACTTAGAGGAATTGCCAAGAGAAATTGCTAAGAGGAAATACTTGGGAGGAGCACTTGGGAGGAATTACTCAAAGGTAATACAGACAGACAGGGTTTATCAACTTTGCTCTTCGCTCTGATTTAGAATATATACTCTGCCGCACTCCTTCTGACTGTTCATACATTAAGCAATACCATCATACCCAGATATCTCATTTTCAGTGGGTTCAGGAAATAAAAATAGTAAATATACAAATTAAATTAAATAAATAGCAAAATAAATAATAAATAAATAGTAGGCCTTGACCTGTTCTTATTCTAGAGAAAGATTTAGTCTCATTCGATTTTAGTATTATATTCCTCAACAATCTGAACGCAGCTACAAAAAACAAAAACATTCAGCAACTATATTGATCTGATTTTGAGTTTTATTTTTCATAAATAATATATTCAGCTGTGAAGAAAACAAAACAACATATTTTTAACATTTTGAAAGTGAGATCATGTTTCCCAAGAGTCCACGCATACGCCGAAATGAGTTGCTCTCCAAGCAGGGCGAGGATTCACCCCGCTCCGTGAAGAGCTCGCCCAGAGCTCCCTACAACAAGGCGCTCATTGGAGCCCAAATGAAGAAACGTCGCAGCCAGGGCAACAAGAAGAAGCTACTTGGGTGAGTAAATTGAGTCTCAAGTGTGTGCTCGCTCATGAAGTGCGAGCGGGTGTATTGGTTTTGTGAGCATAGATAAATATTTTCTAATTTTTGTCTACTTTGCAGAGCGGAAAACAAGGAAAATGTGCAGCTGCTGGAGTTGCCAAGGGCTATCATGCTGACTCCTTCGTCGTCAGACAACTCGCTGAGCACCAGCGTGTCCAGATCGGGCGTGCCTGTCTACAAGGCGCAGCCCAAGCCGGAGAGGCTGACTGAGAATAAGCTGGAACCGACGACGAAGCCGCAGTCCAAGACGGGAGGACTGCCTCCATACCTGACGCTGAAGCGACAGCAGACGGCGGCCATGCTGAACTATCGAGCGCGCAAGTCCGTGTCCCAAATGGACTTCAAGGAGGCCCGGCGCACGGGAAACTATCAGCTGGTTGCCCATGTGTCCAGCTCGAACGCCCTTGTGCCGGCTCAGCCCGAGCAGCAGGAGCACACGGGTCAGCTGACCATCAAGAACGAGCACCTCACCCAACTGCTGCTGCAGGGCACCTCGCAGCTGGGCAGCACTCGCTTCGTGGTCAACGGCGACCAGGACTTGCGCATCGCCAGCCTGCGCATCTTCAACACCATCATGCTGCGCTCCTGGCGGCGCAGGCGGCAGGAGGTGCGTCACCTGGCCGAGCAGGTCGAGGACTTCAAGCGCAATGTAAGATCGCCTAAAGCCATTGATAAGGAATGAGCCCAGTCTCTTAAGGCGCCCGTCTCTAAATCGGCTTACTTCCTTTCTTACAGTTTGTCAAGAGCCGCAACCAGCTGCACGTGTACAACACGCTGTTCGCTGTGGAGAAGCGACGCAACGAGACGCTGAACGATCAGCTGAAGCAGGCCTACATGGACAGCGCCAAGACAAAGGTGTCCTACAACGAACTGACCTTGCTGCTCGGCCAGACCAACGAGGAGAAGCAGCAGTTGGCCAAGGACAACGCCTTCAAGGCCCAGGAGATCGAGAACCTGCAGGAGATGCTGCAGGCGACCAAGAAGGAACTCTTCCTGGCCAACACGCTGCAGCGTGAGCAGCTGGAGCAGCTGGCGCGCGTTCAGCTCGAGTGCCAGGGAGCCAAGTTCGACATCGAGGAGTTGACCAGTCAACTGCAATCCTTGCGACTCGAGCTGACCCAGAAGCAGGAGTATGTGGAGAAGCTGCGCGATGACATTGCCCTCGTTGCGGAGCAGCTGAAGCTGTCCAACTCGAACCTGGTCGAGTACAAGTGCGAAACGGACCTGCATATCGGGTGAGACGTGCACCTGAACTGCAATCAATTTTCTCTTCTATAATTCACAATTTCTAGCAAATTGATGAAGCACACTGAAGAGCTCGAAAAAGATATCAAGGAGAAGGAAGTTCAAATTCGGACCCTGGAAAACTGCCTCGCCGCCACCGTGGGTCACCGCATTCGCCAGTGCTTCGCCCAGAGTCAGGTCTACCAACAGGCCACCTTTCGATTGATGCACCTCGTCGCCTACTGCATGCTGCCCGGCACGCCTCCCCCTGCTCTGCCCATGGCTTCCATTCCGGGTGCTGTCAAGAAGCTACGCGGCCTCTTCCCGGGCGGCTCGAATGGGTCGCACAACGTCGATGCCGCCCTAGCAAACACAAAATAGATGTATCTATGTACACTATGAGTATACATAATCATCACTTAGTTGAAATTTTAGTAGTTATTCTCGTTTGTCCATTGATAATTTTACGTTCAGTTATTTCATGTTCTCATTGCTTAAAATTGATTTATTTCCCATTTGGAACGGAATTCAAGTAAATGTTACAACAAATTTATTTTTATTTATAAGAGATCAAGGCTAGAGGGGGTTGTCTAAAGGGAAGGCTCAAATAATAAATCTAGTCAATGATTCAATGTGATCGATAACGATAAAATAATAGTCCTTTTTATATATATTTACCATACATACTTCTTGAACGAAAGAGGGCAAGTCCTAATTCCGAAATATATATATCAACGTAAGTATATTTCTAGTTTCGTGAAGAAGTGTATATTAAGGCAAGAACTTGCTGTTCTAGCAGAACTTGCTGGCAGCACAACAAATGTACTCTTGAAATTGGTTTACTTCTAAAACGTTTAATTTATTCGTACTCTCAAAGAAATTATACTAAAAACACATTTTACAGTTAGCATGAAGCACACAGGACTTGGGGCTTATAACAACAGAGTTTATAGATTAGATTAGTAGTATTACGTAGATATGGATAGGTTTGATATTTGCAGATCTTCTGAATTGAGGCGCAGCATTTGCTGATCCTCTGAATTGATTCGCACCAGCTGCTCGCTGTCGAAGCTCAGCAGGTTACTGATCGTGGGACCGTTTTCATTGTTGTTGTTGTTGTTTGTGTTGTTGCTGTTATCATTGTTGTTGTTGGTGTTGGCGTACTGCGGATGCATTGGTGCTATGTGCTGCTGCTGCAACTGTTGCTGCTGCTGCTGTTGCTGCTGCTGCTGATGTTGCTGCAGCGTATGTTGATTTTGCTGCAAGCATTCAACGGAGGCATTAGAGTTAGAGATCAAGTTGGAGCCCAGTTTGTCCTCTTACCAAGTGATTCGTGGTCAGATTCCATTGCAGATTGCCAGCAGCGCCCGCGCCCGACGTCAGCAAGTTGTGCATTGTGAATGGRTTGTTGAGATTACTGAGGTTGTTGTTGTTGCTGCTGTTGGCAACAGCTGGCGTTGCGTTGACAGCTGCGGCAGCAGCAACAGCAACAGCTGAGAATTTGCTCTCCCAATGCGTTGCACTGCCAGCGGTTACAAAGGGATTTGGATTGGTGTTGTACTGCAGCTGCTGTTGCTGTTGTTGTTGTTGATGTTGCTGCTGATGCTGCTGCTGTTGGTGCTGTTGCTGTTGTTGCTGGTGCTGCTGATGCTGGGCCAACAGTTGTTGCGTGAAGGGATTGTAATTGTTGCCTAGCTCCAGGTTGCGAGCGCCGCCAGCAACATATTGCTGCTGCTGCTGCTGTTGCTGCTGCTGCTGGTGTTGGTTGGGCGACATCATCTGTTGCTGCTGCTGCTGCTGCTGCTGCTGTTGTTGTGCATTGCTGGGCGCTACTGCTGCTGCTGCTGCCATGTTGTACGGCGACGGCGTGCTATTCTGATTGTAATTGCTTGAGGGGGACAATGGCTGCGGCGAAGGCGTCAATTCCGGCGGAGCACGATACAAGCCAAACGGCTGTGGTGAGGTATCTAAGTACATCAAAATATATATTGATACATGTGCGAATATATAAATATATATATTGCTCACCTCTTGGTTCAGTTTTTATAGGCGGTATATTCTGGGCATTCCAACAGTTCATGTTGTTTTGACCTAGAAGCAGTGCACGAAATTGTTAGCAGAAAAGCAATAATAAACGTAAAAAAACAGCATGCAAAACATTTGTAAATAAAGGCAAAGAATAGGGCAAATATAATAAAATAGGCAAAAATATATATGTATATATATTAAGCGAAAATTTTAAAATGATCATATTTAAATAAAAAATTAATAATATTGAAAAAAAAAAAACGAATTAAAATATAGAGCAAAAAAAAATACCAACAGAAGTAAAAAAAAAATTTTTAAATTTTAGCTCATACACATGCATAAATATAAAGAAAAAAAAAATGTTTAAAAAATAAATAAAAATACAAATTAAAACAAGTAAGAAAAAAACAGTCGAGACTGCTCGACTRGGAGATACCCTGARCCCTSCAARYTGATATTSTAATCATTCTGGACTTCTTTTATGCACACATACATACACATGCACGTATAAGCACGCGCT